TAGCAGGTATTCCAGGAGCTCTATCCCAAAACAAGGGTATGCACACACACACACACACACACACACACACACACACACACACACACACACGTAGGGGGAGAGAAATTGCTAAATTATGTTGCAAAACACCGAAAATTCTAGCTTGTCTGCTGCTCGTCGCCCAGGGTTCCCAGATCCGGGAAGCCACCTTCAGATGGTGGGTCAACCGCAGACACTTTCCATCATGAGCACCGTGGCATGCGGTGTGGTGGGAGAGAAAGAGGCTGCCTCCCTGTGGGGGTCCTTTGGATTGACCCAACCGCACCCACGCGGGATTACCATGGCCATCTGATGCCGGCTGATCGGTGTGACCTCAGGAGAGGCTGTCAGCCAGCAGCCAAACCCCTTCTGAGAGGTGTCCTCGCTGTGGTCTCCACAAGGCTCAAAAGCCGTCTGGGCACCATCCTCTTCGATGTTCCAACAAAGCTGCCCTGCCCTGGCAAATGCCCCCACAGAACTCCTCCGAAGCCCTGTGCACACCGTCTACAGGAGTCCTGACAGCAGCATGCCCGCAGCTTGTGCAGGAGTGACCGCCGTTCCCCTTCTGGACACGTCACCCACTGGGGCTCGTTCCTGTGTAAGCAGTGCTGCAAGTGAGGGGACAGGTCTCCAGTCTTCCGGTCACCTCAGCAGCATCAACTGACCCTCTGCTCAGACTCTGAAGCTCGTCACTTCAGACAGCAGTCACCACCACAGTCTCCAAGCAGAATCCGGAAGAAGGACAGACTAAGCCCTCACCTCCTCTGCCTGTGTACCCCTGGGACGTGTTAGCTGGTGAGAAATAAGATTCTTATTAGATTATAGTCCCTCGTGGAGGCAAATGGTTTCTTCTCAGTACTGGCAGGAAAAGCAAGAGTTCCTTCTTTCTCTAACGTCCCCTGCATCCACAAGAACCCCACAGTGAGAGCTACGCACGCCTTTTGTCCATGGTTAGCAGACTGGGCTAGTTCTCCATGATCTCAGCTACCCCTCCTCCTGCTCTTCCTCGCCTAGAAAAATTCTCCCACAAAAAATATTCACACTAACATGCCAATTCTAATTTCTTTGTAGTGCAAACTCCTGGCCCTATTGGTGAGTTGCCTGTAGATGAACTGGATCAGCCTGAGTGACAGTCTATGACAAAGAAGGACGTTGGCTCCAGCTGTCCCCAAATCCTGTTCCTCGGCCACGCCTCCCCCTGTGTCACACCGTCCTTCTCAGAGACTCATATTTTAGAAAATGGGGGTCCCACTGCCCTAAAATCAGCATTTATTGTTTATGATTGTAACGCTATGTCAATAAACACTGGAATAGCTAACCGAAGCAAACCTGATGGTCAAGAGGGCTGGAGGGAAGGGTAAAGCTGAAAGGGGGTGGCTGCGAAAATGAAGCCTGCGTGGGGAGGGCGGGCGGGCGGGGTGGGGGGGTGTGGAAGAAGGCAAGGGTGGGGACGTAACTAAGGAGCTCACCGGCAGCACCTGCCACAAAAAGCAAGCCTGAGGAGGCAGCCCTCCCTCCTAGCTAAATCTGGAGGGAGGCCGGGTGCTTGATGCCAGGCTGCTTGATGCCAGGCTGCAGGCAGCAAGGATGCCATGGGGACCACTGGTGCCGAGTGCTCAGATCAATGCTGCCTGGGAAGGCCGCTCTCAGCGAGCTCCTTCGGAGAACAGTTTGCCTGCTTTGTCTCTAACCACAATCTTCTTTTGTTTTTTCTGTTTGTAGCACAGTTTACAGAATCCAGTGGTAAGTCCCTGATGTATTTTTTCTCTCTCTCTGGTGTTCCTTGCCCTCGCATACTGTTCAGAGGGCCTGTTCCTCCTCGTGATGGTTCTTGTTGCCGTACACCACCGCCATACTTCCCACTTTGTACCTGCTAAGAACTCTCTAGAGTTACATATTAGGAGAGGGACTGCAGAGATGGCTCATTTGTTAAGAGCAATGGCTGCTCCTGCAGAGGACCCAGGTTCAGTTCCCAGCACCCACATGGAGGCTCACAACCGTAACTCCAGCTCCAGGGATCTCTGTAGATACCAAGCACACACATAGAATACAGATATACATGCAGGCAAAACACCCATGTACATAAAATAATTAAATTTTTTTGCAAATGAAAGAAAAGGAGAAAGGAAATCACTAAATGTCACGATGTACTCTGAAACATGGTATGCTCTTATAACATATAACATGTGCTATACACAGAATAATTTTCCCAGGCCCCAGAGAAAGGTGGCTCGGGAGAGCTTTGCAGTTTACAGAGGCCCTGCTAGAAGATGATGGTAATAACGTAGAGAAAATAACAAAGGGCGAGAAAACTTTCCAAATAAGCCCTAAAGAGGGGAGACAATACAGTCCGAACAGACTGAGGCTGGTTGGTCTTGGTGCTGTGGTGCGTACAGCCCCGCAGGCGTCCACAAAATCATGACCTCTGTGACCTCTGTGACCTCTGCAGCAGGTGTTGTTTTCCACCCTGAATGCTGGTCTTAAGGATTTTTTTTTTTTTGAAAATGAATAAAAGTCATCATAGTTGACTTTTGGCACACGCCTGTAACCCTGAATCACAGCTACCTCCATCTCTACTATTAACTATCCCACACCTGCTGCCTTGGAAATTCTCATAGGGAGAAAGTTTTGTTGTTGTTGTTGTTTTTAGCAACTCAAAGTCTCTGAAGAGCCACCATAGGTGTGCTGCGTGTGAATGCTTTTGAAATATTATAATATATACATGAAGCTGTACTGCTGGTTTTATTCCTTCTAGCCTCCCTGTAAGTTGTGGATGAAAAAGAAAGTTTAGAGCAGGCTAATTAAAACTAAAAGAATTTACAAAAACGAACGGGGAAGAGAAGCTTATCGGAGGCCCAGGTGGGGCGCGGGTGTGAAGGGGCTGCAGAGGCCCGGAGCACACGGACCACGATGCTCTCGGTCTCAGTGTCAAGAATTCTCCATCCTGGCTGGAGAGGAGGTAAGTGACGGCTCCCTGACGGCCGTCCTGTGTTTGCTCTTCCCTCAGAAGAACCTTCACAAGCCTGCCTCCGTAAGTCACACGCTGTTCTGTTCGCTGTTCGTGAGTAAAGACTCTCAGAGAGGCCGGGCTCTTTCGCCCCTTCTTCCTTCTGCCTCATGCTCCTCCCCTGCTCCTCCTCTGCTCCTCCCCTGCTCCTCCCCTGCTCCTCCTCCCCTGCCCCTGCCCCTTTACTTTTTCCACCATCTAGTTGGTGCCTGTCCCCAGGAAGGAAGGCGCATATACTGTAACCCTCGTATGGAGAGCTGGAGAGGAGAACCGGGTTCAAGGTCACCCTTAGCAAGCCCGATGCCAGTCTGAGCTACAGGAGCTCTTGTCCAAAAAACAAAAACAAAAAAAAAAAAAAAAAAAAAAAAAAAAAAACAAAAAAAGATTCGAGGAAACCTCCCAAAGTTTATAGCAACTTGTCAACAGGAGTGGGAGGGAGGCTGTATCCGTGAGTCAAGGCTTGCACAAAGAAGAAAGGTGAAGGCAGCATGGGTTAGGAAAATGCCGACCCGGGATGTGAGCAGGTGACAAGCACTGTAAAGGGAAGACCTCCCTACCCAGTAGACAAGAGCCCACTAGTGTCCCCGCAGGCACTTAGTCCCTCCCCTGAGGACCCTGTCCCCGCAGGCACTTAGTCCCTCCCCTGAGGACCGTCACCAGACCTGCCACACTAATGTCTGCTTTTGTTTTTCAGCTGAAGGATCCAACTGTAAGTCTGGCTGCCTCCTTAGATGACAGAAACCAAAGTCTCCAGGGATGTCAAAACTCTTGAGTCCAAATTTCCACATCCGTGTTAGAACCCAATAGCTTACAGCTCCGATTCCTTGGCCCCTTATGACTCCACTGGGACATTAACAAGCTTCTACTTGTTTCCTGTGCTTCTAAAGATTCTGAATTGGGAACTTATACAGAAGGAAGAAATGAATGAATGAAAAATAATACACATTCCTGTCTTCCAGCTGGGCCATTTCCACAGCGATTAGTGTGTTGTTTGTCCCTGCTCTGCCTTCTCAGAGCCCCACAGAACCTGTCAGACCCCATGATCTAACAAGGGACCTGAAAATCCCCATTTTCTGAGCCTTGCTTTCCCGCTGTCTGGAACTTCACCAAGCAGTCAACAGTTCTCTGAAAACTTTAAAGTCCCTAGCAAGGAAGAAAAGCAGTAAGGCTGGCGCCTCAGATCTGTGAGCCCAACGACTTGAGAGGCGGAGCTAGGGCATTGCCTGCTTTGTGGCCTACAGGCTAAGGGAAAGGCATGCCTGGGCAAACCCATACGTCCTTGTCTCAAAATAAAGAGCAAAGACATAAAAGGAAGGGGCTAGGAGTTGGGAGAGAAGGGGGTCAGGAATATAGATTAGCGGTAAAGCACTGGTCTACCATAAGTGGCCCTAAGTTCGGTCCCTGATATATGGGGGCGAGGGAGAAAGGGAATCAGAAACAAGCAAAAAGTGATGAAGCTGGTGTGGCGGTGATGTCTGTAATCCCGGCGCTTGGGCAGTGGAAACAGGAGGTCACAGTCTAACCTGGACTCATAGTGTGACCCTGTCTCAAAGCAACTCTTTTTAAAGAAAGAACGCAAAGCAATCTTCTCTACTTGCTTTTAAGTTGGAATACAGTCTCAGGCAATGAGTAAGTCTGTATCCATTCCCCCAGAAGGAAGGATGCTAGGGTCCAACAGTCTTTATCTGGCCACTGTGGGATGAGGAGGTCTGCATCCTTCCCCCACCCCCAGCACCCCCTTGCTAGGGTCCAAAAGTCTTTATCTGGCCACTGTAGAATTCACTATCAAAATCTGCCTGGGTTATTAACAATATACTATAAAGTCTGAACTTGACTGATATACCGACACATGAAGAGGGAAAACACACAGGGTCCTACAATTTTACATAATCATCAACAAAAGACTGCTTACGGAAAAGAGGAACGGGGTGCTTATATAACCCCTGTGGTGAGGGTGTCCCAACCTGGGTCTGCCTTTCCACATTTGATAACAACATCTGACAATTTTCCTGACTCTGTAGGAAGTCTCAGAGCTTAGGAGCTGCTGTTTCCTGGCACCTGCTTTTACATTACCCATAATTTTTTTTTTACTTTTTAAATGCTTTTATGGAAAAAGTCAAAGAACTGACTTAGATAAAATATGTAACAAGGGGTAAGTTTCTCAACAATTTAAAATATGACGGTTCAGGGTAAAAGTACTTGTCCCACAAGCCTGACACCTGAGTTCAATCCCCGAACCCCGCAAGGGAGAACTAGAGAATCAGCTCCAGAAGTCGACCTCTGACCTCCACACGTGTGTGTACACACACCGCACACATACACACAACCACATACACTCTACACCCACATGCACACAGCACAGATACATACACACACACACACACACACACACATACACACACACACACACACACACACACACACACACACACACACGCCAAATGAATAAACTTTAAAATGTAAAAATAAAGTGAAAAATGAATAAGGAAAAATAAAAAGCAGGTAATTTTCTGTTTTGTTTTTGTTTTTGTTTTCTTATCAGGTGCAATAACTCCAGTCGCCATCAGTAAGTCTCGCTTTCCTTGACAACCCTAAGGTTTCCGGGTTTAGGGGTCATACAACTTTACCTACCCGCCTTCCGTATCAGAAACCATGATGCCACAGGGCCCTTTCAGACAGCCAGATCTACAAACTCACACAGGGTCAGGCAGGACCAAAGGGTGGTCATCTCCCATCAAGATGGAGCTCTAAAAAGAAGACAGATCTGTGCAAGAGGGGGGGCACTAAACCCCTTCTCTGTCTTACAGGTTGTCCACCGTCACCCAAGACACCTGTCTGTGAGTTGTGCCTGGTTTCCATTGTCACGGCTCTCTGTGTGTGCCCTGCCCATTTCTACCCTGTGTGCAGACCTGAGATGTGTGACCCCCCCCAGTCCCCCTTGCCTTTGTCATCCAGCCTCCCCCCCCCCCCCCCCGCCTCCGATGCGTGTCTACTCCCTCCTCCTGTAAGAACTAACATATTTTTAGTTGCGTCATCTCATTGAATTCCTATAGTAGTGCCATTAATTAATCCCTGTGAAGTGGATGGGAAACTGAGGCCAAAGATTTACCCAAGAATCTAGTCATAGGACCTAATTCAAGCCTAGAGCTGTACCCTCCTAAGCTGCCCACCTCACAAATGTGCCTCTCATGGAAACCTCTCACGGCTGTTGTTACTTTTCAGGTGCGACTCCGGTGTCCGTAGGTGAGTAATGTGCTTGATTTTGATTCTCTTGACTTCTGTTGGCCTGAGTCTCTCCCCCTCTCATCCCTTCCCACCCAGCTTCCCTGCACCAAACATAACTGTAGAATAGGATACCAAGAAGTAACGAGCTAGCATTTGTCAGCAAAAATCTAAAAGCACTATGAAGTAGCCGATGTAGGCAGAGTTTTTCCAGCGAGAGAATAATGGTGTGTACAGGAAGTACACAGTCCAGTGGTCTCAGGGAAGTCTGTAACCCAAAGCTGCTCAAGTCCAATAATGAAGGGGTTTTCAGGTGTTCTGCCTCTAACCTCTTCATCACGAATTAATCTTGCATCTAAATCTGAGCTACAACTAATCTGCATGGAGTTGTTTTGAATGCATCTTTGCCGAGTAACCCCTAACAGACACCAGCAAAACTGTTAGAGAACTCTGTTGGTTCTAGATAAGAAAAATTAAATGGATTTCTCTTTCTCTCTCTCTCAGTAATGTCACAGAAAACTTTGTGTAAGTTCTTTACTTTTCTGCTGGGGTATGCGGGGTTTTCATGGCTTAGCTGGCTCTGCTTCTAACTGCCAGAAAATGAGATTCCTGTTTCTCATGTCTGTTTGCTTTCATGCTCCACAAGGGCCTGAGGCCGACTGCATGGCCGGTGTCACGGGGCCCAGACACAGACTTCCCAGGCTTTGTTAGTAACTCACATCTTCAGTATCAGTTGCTACTCGAGACCATGCAGATGAACTGTTGATGATGAAGGCCAAACTCAGGGCCGTCTCACGAGTGTGATGACCCCGTGTGCTCCTTGTGCTGAACTTGAAATGTAGAGTTTTTGTCGGTGTTAAAAACTCAAAATGCTCAGCAGGTACCATAAGTGAGTGTGCTGAGAAGAAGCCAAGTGCTGTGGGGAAAGGGGTCAGGAGGCTGCAGGGTCTGAAGAGGGTGCTCCACTCACCC